TGACACACTCGGACGGCGACGGTCAAGCGCCCCACGTGGTCGGCTGATCCAATCAAGACTCAGCCAAGGAGACCCACGYGGTGGCTGCCTGCGTCCCCCGGCAGACCRCTGAGCAACCAACCTAAGCAGAGATCAACAGCCTGGCATCAGAAACGCGGAAGCCAGTGAGGCTGTCACTGACCGTCACCAAGTTTCACCTGCCACACACAACCGTGTGGCCGTACCTTCACACAAATGGSCGTGCAGCAGGTGGGTCTCCCCCGGCCCCCCCTCAAACCTAAGAGGTGCTGCTTACAGCATCTCAGGGGACACAGGCTCACCCAGGGACCGGAGTCCTGCAGCCCCACTCTCCGCTGAGGACCGTGGCTGACCAAGCACCATTATGGAGCACAGCGAGTAACTCAGGGCCTGGGCTGCCGCTGGCTGAATGCGTGACAAAATCGACTTATTAAAGGCAGCTCCCGTGTGGGGAGGCAGCTTCGAGCCAGGGCTGAGAGYTGGAGCGTCCCTGGGCAGCTTTTTACGTGTTGTAATATTTGAATCACAAATGTACTATTTCACCCGRCAGCCAACCGCTTCCCAGATCCTCCGGGGCTCTCCGACCCGCCCAGGAGGCGCAGTCTGGGGAGCCCAGGGGTGTGGGCACCGCTTTTCATACATTCCTTCCCACCATGAAGCCGCCGGGCTTCTCCATCAGGCAGAGTAAGAGACCAGCCACCCACCCATGGGGACATGGGACAATGGCACCGTAGACTTTAATAAAACTTATTTTAAAGTATGACTGTTTATTTCTGAAGTTTTCTATTTGCTGTTTTCAAGCCCCAGTAGACGGCAGGTGAACCTACAGAAAGTGAGGCCTGAGGACCACGTCGGGGTGGTCCCCAGGGGCTGGACGGCTCCCTCCCTAGGGCATCCTGAACCTCCTGGGGGCCGGGCAGCTTCCCCGCCTCCACCCCCTGAGCACCTTCCAACCTGCGATGAAGAGAACCTGCCCCAGGCCCACGCCTCACTCAAAAAAGCTAAAAAGTTGATCTGGTAGAAATAGAGAGGAGGGTGACTTCTAGAGACAGGAGGGTGACTTGTAGAGACGGAAGGGGACGGGGTGGGGACAGGTTGGGACGGAGGCCCCAGGGCTCCGCTGGAACAAGCCCAGCTGTTCTACAGCCCAGGGGCGACTGCAGTTTAAACCACCCATCCTGCATTTTATGAAGAATTACAGATTTGAAAGCTCCAAACACAAAGTAAGAGTAACGGTGGAGAAATGGAAATGCTCATGACCCTGAGGGGGTCGGAGCAGATCGACTGCATCGCATCCCACCGTCGTACGGTGCCTGTACCCCACAAATAAGCACGAGGATCACGTGCCAATCCAAAAATCAAAATAAAATTTTTAAAAAAATTCAAGGAACTGGAAAATACGTCTCCAGATTTTGCCAAATTCTGGGGACACGTGAGATGGGCGAAATCCCGCCTCCCCCCCAGAACCCCCACCCCCAGCTGSCCCGCAGCCTCAGCCTCACACCCCACATCCTTTCCAGGAAGACCTCAGCCAGCCGGGGGGTGCCWGGCGCAGGCGGAGCGGCTCTGAACACCAGCCCTGATCGGCACCCAGGGCCGTCTGCATCCACGATTCAGATGCACAGACGGGAACCTGAGGCTGGGGAGAGGCGGAGCGGGAAGTGGTGGCGCAGGATTTGAACCCAGGTGTGGCTCCCCAGGCCACTGACCCCCAGACCCCCGCTCTTACTGACCCACCAGCTCCCTCCCCACCCTAAGTCGCACTGTGTTTTGGTTTCTGGTACTTTGTGTTTTAGGGTTTTCCGCGGTGCTGCTGGGGTTGGAACCCAGGGCCTCACGTGCTAGGCCAGTGTTCCACCGCGGAGCTGCAGCCCCAGAGAAACGTATTTTCTGTTGTTGTTGGAGATGGGGTCTCACTCTGTCGCCAGGCTGGCCTTGAACTCCTGGGCTCGTGCAGTCCTCCTGCCTTGACCACAGGCATGCATAGCTGCACCCCGACCCCAGCCACTGCGTTCCGGGCCRGGGACCTGGGCAGCCCCCACATCCTGGTGGTGCCGTCCCCCAGTCCATCCCTTCCTCCGCACGTCCTCGGCCTTCAAATCCGTCTCTGCAGACTCGGCCTCCAGGACAGAAGAGGAGCAACTGTGATGTCCAGGTCTCTGTGCTGCCCGTCATGGCCACATCACTGGACCTCAGAGCGTCCCACCCCCTTCTGCAGCCTCACTCCCACCGGACCCACCTCACCACTCCCCCTGGCTGGGCCATCCCCGCYCGCCCGGCCTGGGGGCCTGTGCGTCTGTCTGCAGCTCCCTGTCCAGAACAGTGTCCCCGCTCCGTGTGGCCGGTTCCTTCACCCCACACTCCCAAGCCCCCTCCCTGCTTTCCTTTCTTCAGAACATGACCACCTCCTGACGATCCAGGCATGTCCCTGCTAGAAGGCAGGTGCCTCCATAACAGGGGTTTGCGTGTCTAAGTCCCCCTGTCCCCAGCACCAAGAACAGGGCCGGGCGTACCCAGTAATCACTGGATGGATGGATGGATGGCTGGTTGACTGAGGAGCCGGGCTTGGTGGTGCACAGCTGTCATCCCCATCACTCAGGAGACTGAGGAGGAGGATGGCAAGTTCCATTCCAGCCTGGGCATCTGAGCAAGATCTTATCTCAAAATGAAAACTAACAGGGGAGGGGGGTATAGCCTGGTGAGCCCCTGGGCTCAATCCCCAGAACCAAAATGAATGAATGAATGAATGAATGAATGAATGTTGTTAGGATGGAAAAATGGATGGGTAATTGAATCGATGGATGGGTGGATGGAAATCGAACAGCTGGTCGGGTGAATGGATGGATGGATGGTTGTCTGGTTGGGTGGACGGATGGATGGCGGGTTGGGGGGATGGGTGATGAATGTGATTTCTTTCCTCCTCCTTGGAAATAACTGTGCGAAGGAGAAGGGCCGGGAATGAGAAGCGGGAGGAATGGGGAAGCACCTCGGCCCAGCCTCCACACCTTTATTTGTGCCATTACCCCTGAGGCTCACCTTCCCATTTCCCACATCCTGTGGGCCAGGCATGGCTCTGCTGAAACTTGTTGACAGGCACCCAGAAACCCAGCTCCCCGTACACATCCCCACTGGGTACCAGGCACAGCAGGGGCAGGAAGGCACAGAGCCCCCAGACTGGGAGGGTCGGGGTACCCCCTGCCCAGCCTGGGCCTGCACCGCTGGGCACAGGAAGCCGGACAAAGCCCAGCGCCAGCTCCTCTGACATCAAGCCTGACTCTGCCAGGCGAGGCCAACCCAGGGCCCTCAGCCCAGATCTCAGGGCTGGGGCACCTTTTCCTGGCCCTTTGAGTTCAAGTGCATTTTGAGGGCCAGAGCTGGTTTCCCAACTCGGCCTGGTATGGAGGACTGGGGCTGCCACGGGAGGGAGCTGCTTCCCTAGGGACTAGTGCCATGATTGCTTGCCCTTCAGAAAATCGGCTTCGGTGAAGACACACAGGAGGGGAAGTTCATCCTTAATCTATCTGCTGTCCCGGTCACCATTATTAAAGCACTACAGGGTACCTGGACTCCCTGCCAGGGCTGGGCCTGACAGATCTGGGGCTACTTTCTCATGCCCTGGAAGCTGCGGGGTCGGGGAGGTTTAGGCAAATGTAGGCAAATGTGGGTGGCCTTTGGCCGGAGGGACGGGCAGGAGAGGGCTCTGAGTTCCCTCTGCCTTTCAGGAAACCTGCCCAGTGGGGAAGGGCAATGCCCCGGCACCAAGGACACAAAGGAGAAGGCCCATGGCCCTGTCCCTAGGAAACCCCCCAGGAGCCCCCCGTGAACCCCACTGCCTGGACAATCACGTCCCCCTCTTCCAGTTACATGGTCCTCAGACAACCAGGAGGCCATGCCCCCGCTGGCCACAGCCCACCAGCCCAGCTGCTGGGGCTAAGACTCTCACCCTGCAGTGAGGGCTGAGGGCCAGGCAGCAGCTCTCCCCCRAACCCCAGAGCAGGGTCACGATGCTCAGACCTAGGGCAAGGCCWTGTCTCCCAGACTAGGGACAGGACCATGTCCCTAAGGCTCAGGACGGGACCAGGTCCCCCTGATCCATGGCAGAGTCATGTCCTCTGAGACCCCGGGCCAGAGACATGTACCCTCCGCTCCCTGAACAGAACCCATGTGCTCCAGGCCCTGGAAGGCTCCTCAGCCCTGCCCTGTCCCCTCTCGCAGGCAGCAGCATCCACTCAGCAGCCGCGGGGAAGCAGAGAAGGTACCCAAGAGACAGGACAGTCCTGCCACCACCCCCACCCCAACCACATTCAAATGGGGATTTGAATGTATTTCCTGAGCCCACGGGGGACAATGCCGTCAGCCTACGTCCCGGAGCCTGGGCCCCTGCTCAAACCCCAGCAGAGAAAATGCCRTCCTTCTAGGCCCCCAACCCCAGGAACTGGTCCCGGCGGTCAGGACCAAGGCCTGCCTCGACGTCCCCACGGGATGGGTACAGAGAGGAAGTCCAGGGCCCCGGGGCTGCAGCCCCCCACGAGACCTCACTGTCCCAGGCCCAGGCAGGAAGCCAAGGGGAAGGAAGATGTGAGGGGAAGGAAGGGGCCCGGGCCAGGGAGGAGGAGGCACATGTGGGGGAGAAGTCGGTGGGGCCCCTCCCCCACAGCCAGGATCTGGGGTCAACACAGGAGGAACCTCAGGCACCCTACCCTGGTGGCTACCAGAGAGTGCCCAAGCCCCCCCACCCAGGACCCACCCGATGGTCCCAGGAGAGTCAGGTGGGGGCTGGAGGGTTAAGCCCCGATTGGCCATTCTCAGCTCGACTCAGGCCACCCACGCAGGGGACCTGCTACCCTCAGATGGGCCACCGGCCGGGCCAGCCCTGGCCTGGAACCAGAACCCCCCCCACTTTGCTGGCCCTGATGCAGAGTGCTTAGCCCCTCCTTCTCAGCCCAGGTCCCCCGATCCCGGCCAAGGCCAGGGGGCCTCACCTGAGACATCTGGGGGCGCAGGTTGACCTCTCGMAGGTTGATGGCCTGGGGCAGCAGGTTGTTGAGCAGCTGGCACAGGAGGACGCCATCCCGGAGGGCCTGCGCCAGCTCGCACACCTGGGCCCCCTCCCAGGTCACGCGGTGGCTGGGTGGCAGCACCCGGCACTGGATGAGCCAGTGGGTGCACTGGCGCCACAGCTCCATGGCGGCCGAGGCCTGGGCCCGGCTGCCCGTGCACGCTCGCGGCCTCCACCACCCACCCGCCCGCCCTCCCGCCTGTGGAGCGACAACTAGGGCTACCACTTCCTCTTCTGCGCCTCTAACTGTCACCCCGGAGTGGGTGGAGGAGGAGGTGGAGGAGGAGGAGCTGTAGGGCGGAGAGGGAGCACCTGCAGCTCAGCCCCTCCCCACCGGGTCCACGCGGGATTGGCCCCCCTGTCCACCTCCCTCTCAACACAAGCCTGGGCACCCGGGAGCAGGTAGCGCTGCAGGGCGACAATCCGGCTGGACAGTGAGGTCACTGCTTCCTCCTCATCCCACCCCCTTGCAATTAAGCAGTGCCACCTCTAACATGAACCCGAAATCCACCCACTTGTCACCTCTTCCTCTGCCTCCACCCCGGGTCGGCTCCTATCTACCCAGCCTGGATCAGTGCAGTCACCTTTGCCTGGACCCTGACTCCAGCCTTGAACTCTCAGAGACTGTCTTCCCTGCAACAGCCAGAGGGCGACCGTGAGCACCTGATCCTGGGCACTGTCCCTCCTCTACCCTCTATGGCTCCCACTTTCCTCTGGGCAAAAGCTCAAGTCCTCTTTGAAGCCCAGAAGGCTCTGGGGTCTTCCCAAACCTCCCCATTTCAAATTACAGCCTTCCCTYCATCCCATATCACCCTACATTAAGCTCGGATCACTACCCAACAAACCTGCTATTTATTATACAGTTTTCTCCTGTGTCTGTGGGTTACATATCCTTGGATTCAACCAACCACAGACTGAAAATGTCTCTACTGACCATGAGCAGGCTTTTTACTTGTCATTATTCTCTTAAAAAGACAAGTGTGACAACTATGTACACAGAATTGACATGGTAATCGGTAGGTATAGTAAGTCGTGCAGATATGAATTAAAGCATACTGCATGCTACTACACCTTTTATAGAAGGGACTGGGTCACCTGCAGATTTGCGAATCCTCAGGGGGTCTTGAAACACTCCCCGCAGTACTGAGAGATGATTGTGCTTATTTCTTCATTGTCTACTTGAGTGACTCTTTGCTTGCTGACCCCTCCCCCATCTAGCACTCAGCACAAACAGGAGCTCCATAAATATCCGTTGGCTGTATTAATAAATGATCGAAAGCTCTCTTGTCTCCGCCTCGCGTTTATTCCAAATTCTTTCTCACCACGGCCATGGACACCACCCAAATGGAAGCTACTATCATCCTGTCCTTAGGGACTTGGAGAGTGCCATTCATTAATCCATTCGTTTAGCCCTTCTCTTGTCACCAGCTGAAATCATCTTCAGTGAGAGAACTATCTCACCCTATTCACCCCACCAGGCTATAAGTAGCACCCCCCTGCCCTCTCCGTATGACTCGGCTCCCCCACTCCACGCGGGTCCCCAGGGGGCATGGGTACTTTGGGCCAACCTGGGTTGAAAGGGAGCTGCCGGGTTCTGATTCTTACAACCACTAGGAGGCGCTAGACTCCTTCCCTGCAGGGGCCCCCTGACCCTCTCACTACCCAAACCGCTCCGGAACCTGGAGACTTTCCTGTTATTGGTGGGGGTGGAAGGCAGAGGAGGGGAACTCTACCTGGAAATTCCCAACTTTGTGATCCTACAGACATCAAAACYTTCATCCCCAAGAATGCCTGGCTTTCTAKGCGTCCGTTTTCTCCTCTGTAAAATGGGTCACCATTTACTTTCCCTGCACTCTCAATTATCGTGGAGATCAGAGATCGTGGGGCTGCAAAGATGAAAGCCTTCCACGCCTCCGGATTTGAATTCCGTCTCGACCACTCACACGACAGGACAATCTGGACAAATGTCTTCGCTCCCCTGTGTCTCAGTGTCTGCATCAAAAATTTGGGAACCTACCTCCCCCATCGAGTGACCTACTGAAACTTATGAGGTAGGACAGGCCAGCCGAAGTCTCGGTATACAGTAAGTGCTCAGTAAAAGTCGTGGTGGCTACTGCTTTCAAGACTTATTATGAACCGTTGAAAACTTACACTTTGAGCCTTTAAYAGGCGTGGGCAGAGCGGCCTCTCTTGCCCACCCCCCACTTTCTCCACTCGTCCCACCACCTGGGTGCTGCCCCTCGTTTTGCCCCACAGTCCAGCCCGATTCCACGCGTGCTGTGTTTTCCCGGACGTCTCTCCACAAAACCTGTCACCCATGCGGGGTCCTTTCGGGAACYCCAAGGGGGCAGTCTGGAGGAAGTGCACGCGTCACAGCCGCGGCCACCCCCGGCCTCGGATCAGACCCAGACCGGGCGCCCCGCCCCTACCCGGAACCCTGGGGGCGGAGAAAGAAGCACCTCCCTCGGTCGCGCAGGTCACCGGGTGCACGGGTGCTCAGGGAGAGCCTGTTGGCAGCGGCGGGTCTAAGGTCTGTACGTTTGAAAATCATTCTAGTGGCCTGAGAACGGTGTGTGCGCGCTGAGTGGGCGTGGTCAGTCGGAAGAAGGAGGGGCTACATTTGAGGGGGCGGGGCCATTGGGAGAAGGGATTAGCGGAGTTCCCAAGGAGGCGGGGTCTACCGGAAAGAAATACCTTCGAAAAGGGGCGTGGTTAGCAAAGAACCGATCTAGGGGCGGGGCAAGGACGAGGGGCGGGGTGGGAGCCTGGGAGGTTACGTTTGGAGGCGGGGCGCGGTCCAGTGGGGCGGGGTCTAAAGAGGGCGTGGCCAGGTGGCCTGGCTAAGTTYCCACTAGGTGCGGTCTGGGGAGGCTAAGCCTAGTTGCAGTGCGCAGGGAGGGACCTGGAGCYGCTGATCGTCCTTAGACCTTCACGGATCTGGCCTAGGTAAGCCGGAGGCCCTGGGCAGATCCAGGACTAGGGAATTTTGGAGGTGGAGAATCTTCTCATTCCAGGTACCGGCTTGCAGGGGGGATCTAGGGGCCTGTCCATGCGCGTCTGCATGRACTAGAGAGGGCATCCAGTGAGCAAGCGAGTGGGTCGCTGGGCGAACCTGCATGCGCTCTTCTGTGTTTCCTGTGCAACCCAGGAATCCTCTTATTCCACTTTCGCTGGAGCGATCCCAGATCGGGTCCCTCCACTTCCTGGCTTAAAACCCTTTCAAGGCTCCCATTTCATCGCACTGAGATTAAAATCCGGGTCGCACCAGCTCCTGTGCGGGCTCTCCCCGCCGGTCTCTTCCTGACCTTCTCGACTTCCACTCCGTTCCTTGCTCGATGCACTGCAGCCACATCAGCTCCTCCAGGGTGTGAAGTGTAAAAATAAAGATTCATCTCACTGCCAGGTCTTGCTGTACCTGCCAGCCGGACGACTCCATATCTTTGCAGTGCTGCCTCCTTCTGTCCTGTGGTCTCAGCTCCTATGTCATCAACTCCTGACTTTGCTGCTTAAAGCAACCTGCCCCCTCCAGCCTTCTTTATCACATCTTCCTGTTTTATCGCCCACATTGATTTGTCTTAGAAATTATCTTCGTTCATTGTTTTCCTGCTGTGTCTTACCTATCTGTCTTTGTACTCTGGAGGGGTAGGCTGGGATTTGATCTCAGCATCTCCAGGGTCTAGAGAGGGCAAAGCGCACACTAAGTGCTCAATCATCAGTGTTTGCTCAATTCAAATGTATGACCCCAGAGCCCTTGGCTCCCCTGTGTGGGTGTTGTGTGTGCTTGTGGCTGTCTCCTATATGTGGTGGCACTCCTGAGCTCAGCCCCTTTCCCCGTTCTACCCCCTTTCTCTCTCCCCCACCACCCAAATAAATTATCTGAAAGGCAGGAGGATGATTTAGTTGGACTTTGACTGACCTGTGCCCACCTTGAAATCCCAAAAGTAACCTTGACATGCCGTGATCCACCTCCACTCCCACTAAGGGGGGCCTGAGGCAGAGGAGTTTGGAGTTGGGAGAGAAGACCAAGGCCACAGAGCCTGGCCCATCTGACAAACAGGAAGTGGGCAGGTATTCAGAACACACCTGGCTTCAGGTATGCAGTGCCTGGAGCCAGCTCCCAGCCCAGCTGCCCTCCCCTAAAGCTGGCCAAGACTGATCTGGAAACTTCCTGCCCCTTCCTGGCCCACAGACCTCTGACTCAGGAAGCAGGAATCAGACCCCTCTGAGGCATTCACATGATGTTGAGGGGTGGGGGGATTAAGAAATAGACGCCCTTCCCTCCCACCCAAGGCAATTTTATCTCCCAACATTTGAGACACACTGGCCCAGGGGCCTGTGGAATGATTCTGAAGCTCCCAGAATGCCTTAGAACAAAGGAATGGATGGGCTTCAAAACACAAGAAGAAACTGCAAACACAAAATTGCTACTTACTGATATTTCTCCAAACGTGTCCTCGCATTTAAAAAGTGCATGGGGTGTAGATCAGTAGTAGAGCGCTTGCCTGGCAGGTGCAAGGCCCTGACTTCCATCCCCAGCATTGGGAAAAAAAAAATGCTAAAAAGAGAAAAATAGCATCACATGCTAAAGGGATGAGTTAGATCTTCTCACATCCTGAGAAACCCCAGGACCGCTGCCCCCAAACAGTGCATGTTTGTAAATTCATCCCCCCTTCAGGGTTTTTCCACCCAGAGAGCCACCTGGTCGATACCCTCAAAATTCTCCCGGTCCGGAATGAGCCCTCCCTGTCTACCTGTGGAAACTTCATCCTGCCTTCCGAACCTGCATCACATCCCACCTGGGTTTGTCTTTCCACCAGGTACTCCGTGACATCCTCCACCAAGGACAGGGGTTCCCATCTCTTTTGTCCACTTTGGGGGTCCAGTTCCTAGAACAGCACTTGGCACTGACACCCAGGGCACTACCCACAAATACAAGTTCAGTGACTCAGTGAATTAAAAAAAAAAAATTTCCCCATGCTGGGTGGGGATGGAGCCTGGAGACTTGTGCATGCCATCACCGAGCTGCACCCCCAGCCCCGTGAATCAAGTTTCTATGAAATGTGGTGGTATACAACAGCTCCATTTTTTTCACTTCAGAAAGATCATTTTCCACCAAGTGTGGGGGCT